CTCGAAGACCAACGCTTCCTTTATAAAAGGACCATCAGGCCTTTTCAGACCATGCCCATACCATTACCTCTCATGACTTCATCAGGATCGGTGTGAACGCCCTGACGCCCTCGTTTCTGGAGACCAACCGTCTCCAGCCATGGGCACATCATGGCATCCTCATTTCAGATGAGTGGAGCTGCCCCGGTCATTTCTCGTTGGGTTTTCCACGATGGCGTTTGCTGGAATCCACCGTGTTCCTTAACAATAAGCGCCCATATGAAAAATTCGTAATTTGGTTCGAAAACAGCCTCGAAAACGGGAAAGGAAAAAAGTACGGTGGGGTAAGCGGTTCGACTGGTATTATTTACGACTGAAACTCTGAAGAGGAATAGGGAAGATTGTTTTCAAGCGTGCCGTAAACCGTCAGTGTTCTCCTTACGGAGCAATCTGTGGAAGTTTAAATTTGGGCTATGCGAAAAGTAGCTTGTAGTGAAAATATTGTTCTATAAAGAGGTTCCGGTACAACCTCCCAGTTTGTAAGATGCATTCAGCTCCCAAATAGGCAGTGGAATACAGTTCTGACAAGCAGGTGTCACTCTTCCCGCTCGCGTTTCCAGTAGAGTCTTTGACACTTCAGCTCTTCTGCTGGAAGAAGCCGTGCAGTTTTTCGGTTTTTCACTGTGCTAGACACCCCCACAGGCGCATGCTCTGGAACACCATGTCAGGACAATAAAGAGAGAGAGTCGTAAGTGTAGCCAACTAGCTTTGCATTGTTTTCAACCTTAAATTTGGTAACAACGCTGAAGCGGAGTTGGTGTAGTGGCAACTGCACGCTTACCACTCGCGCGGTCCTGGGTTCAAATCCCGGGTCGACTCCCGCCCAGGCCAACCAAGCCTTCTACCCTCCGGGGACGGTAAATTGGTACCAGATTCGTCTGGGAGGATAAGGGCACTAGGCACTAACTTGCACGTCGGCAGACCCCCCCCCTCCCCAATGTCATTGTATGAGACGCATTCAGTAAGCCACTACGATTCTGGAATGAAAGTAGAATGCGTGCCGCATCCCACAAAGGGACTTGATCAACGGCGAAGACTTTATCCTTTTACTTTGGGTGATTTTAACTGAAAGTCAAACTTTCCATTAGAGGC